GGGGGACTGGACGGGAGGGACGGCGGCGGCGGCGACGAGGAAGGAGGAAGAAGAAGAAGAAGAAGAGCGCTGGCCTTGCCGAGCCGCCCCCATCTTCGTTCCTTGTCCTAGTACAATGGAGAAGCCTCCCCTCCCGCAGGGAAGTGTGTCTCTGTATGGATGAGAGAGCGCCTCAGTCCTGGCTGGGCACCCCCTTCCCCACACACACACCTGCTCCTTTTCCTCATCTCTTTCCCCTCCCCCGATTTACTTCAGGGAGAGGAACCACTCCCAGGGAGCCGGAGGGGGAGAAGGGCTCGTTGCTCCCAGGCGGTCCCCGGAGAGGGGTTTTACAGGCGGGGGGGGGGGGGGGGGGGGGCAAGAAGCGGTTGTTGTTGTGGCCAGGTTTTCCTCTGACAGAAATGGCGTCAAAGGCAGCGACGGAGGGGGGGAGCCGAGCCGCGGTGTGTGAGGCTCGGAGAGGAAGCGGCTGCTGTAGCCGGAGGGGAGAAGAGGGACGGAGGTGTATGTGGAGGGAAGGAGAGCGGTGGGTGCTTGGAGGAGATCTAGGGGGAAGCGCTTGCAGAACCTTTCTCCCCCGCCACACACACGCACACGCATACAGAGCGCGCCCCGGTGAAAAGGGGGTGGTGCGGTGGCTCAGCGCTTTGTTTTACATTTCAGGTCCAGCCTCGGCGGCTCAACCTCTTTCGGGTTTTTCTCCTGCAGCCCGAGTTCATAATGAAGGTAAAATCGCTCGTCGGTGGGGGTGGCGGAATGGGGACCCGCGGGGAGTTAGGTCTACCCCTAGCTCTGCTCCCTGGTGTGAGGCTTGAAGGCTTATCCAGATTTAGACCGCAGGCTGCTATGCTGAACTGAAGGCTTGTTCCTTGGCTTGGCTTTTGTAAACTCGTATTTACGCTGTGCTGACGGCGCATGGTAAATTCTCTGTTCTGGACTTCTTCTGCAACACCCTTTCAAAAGGAAAAGGACATGGCTGCCTGGCCCGGCCTTAGTAGTTTGGCAGGGGAATAGGGGTCACTTGCTCTTCTTTGGAAAGTATGAAGTCGGAATGGAAAGGCTCCCTTAAAGCAGTTGAGCTTTTCTCAAATGAGGTTAATTTACTTTCCCTTAATTTCAGTCATGTTGAATTAATAATCCTGTGTTTCTGGAAGTGTCTTTATAATGTCTGCAGTAAAAAAACTGCTTACAAGGTGTAGAAAGACGTTTTCCCCAAAACACTTTCAAATACTTTAAACTGTTGCATAGGATGAGTATTCACATGACATGTTCTCCTTATCTGAAAATCACTGACAGTATGACATATGCAGATGTTATCAAAAATATTAATTTTACTTGTACATGTGTTGAAATGACCATTAGGAATACTATATTCCTTACTTTAAAGCTTGCACAGACAATAAACACATGACATTGTACAGAACATTATTTAAACATCCAGACTGAGCCCTTCATGAGATTCTTGTATGGTGATAAATCTGATTCTTTGGCTTTAAAAAAATCGTGTTAAAGGCACTTTTTGAATAACTGAAAAAGGAATATTGTTGAATACTTGAATGGTATGCACTGTCTACCATCTTTGTTATTAAATATTGTAAGCTGCTTCATCTGTTGAGTGAGGTCTTTCTTGAAGGATGTAGACGTATCTGCAGTTATACATCAGCTGTGCCGGAAACACTAGAAATAGCATCAAATCAAATATTTCGTAATATTTAATTGAGAGTTTTCAGTAAATATGCTTCATCTTGAGTCTTTTCGCTTTCAATGTAATAATCACTCATCATGAAAGAATAACTAGTGAGTTCTTAAAATGTATCAAAATCTGTATCTTATATTAAGGTTGTTTTGTGATGATGTGAGAGCAGTAATCTTAAATCATTCAGTAAGAAAGTAATCATTTTAAAATATACAAGGTTGTTCTTGTATATATGCAGAAATGGGAGTTAGGCTGAAATAGTTGTGATCAGGTTCTGTGATTAGAGCAGGAAACTGAGTGTGTAGCCATGCGGTTCTGCACAAGATATTGCAAATCAGTGGAAACATTGTGATACATCCTTGCTGTGTAACAAATTTTAACCCATGTTTGTGTTTTGTGTAGGTAAATCTTTGAATGAAACTGCTATTTAAAAAAATTCTTAGGATTTGTGTTTGCAATAAAGTTATGGTGCACTTTGTTCTTCAGAAGTGAGTGTACTGGACAGTTTAGCATTTGAGCACCATAGCAAGCTAGTTTTAATTCATATTCTTATTGGAAGTGACTTTTCAATTGAAAAAATGCAGGATCAGTCATTGAATACAGGATTTTAGAGAACTCTGAGAACCAAATACTTGGAAAGTGTTTACTTTTCTTGAGTGAAAGAGTGGTCAGATACTTAGAGCTAGCACTGAGTTTTGGTCTCTTTTGAATGCACAGCCTGGGGCAAGATGGCACAAAACTTTTGCCAATCCAAAGAAAGGAGGATCCTCACTGCTGTAAGCCTTATGAGTACAGGAGGAAGAAATAAGTAGCTTGGCTAGTCAAAAGCATATCTTGTAGTGTTGTTCTGTGAGTTATTAAGATGTTTCTTTTTGTTCAACACAGAGGAAGAAATTACCCCCAGACCCACTATATGCCCTCTTGCCATTTTTATTTAACTTTTTTTGGAATCTAAGTGGGTTCCATTTATTTGTAGACAACTAATATATTGTTTAAAACTTTGTTTTTAAACTTACAGAACATAACACAGCTCTTTCATTTATATCTTTTATTTAAAGAGTGTGATGTTGTAAGGTTAAGACTGTCTAGCCAAAATAATTTAATTTAAGGTATTACTAGAGTAAACCTAATCTGTAAAGTGATGTGGAAGGTAGTGCTTAAGTAGATGAGAATAAGCAGTAAAAATTTTAATTGGGTGAATGGATTCTATGGACTCAGCTATGTTGGGATGAAATTAATTATAGAACAATACACTAAGCTCTGACTGTTTCTTCAAGCGAAAGAGGCAGTGTTGATGTTCAAGACGATGTCTAGAAACTCCACTTTTGTTCCCAGCTTTCCTTTTACACTTTGTTTGTCCTCCCATGAATCGTACACAGTCAGATCTAGAAATCTTAGACTGTAAAAACAAAGATTCAGTGTGCTGATTATGGCTTAGTGAGTTACTTTTAATAATGTGAACTGATATTCCCCCAGGAGCTTCTGTTTGCGTTAAATACAATTAATACTTTTGTGTGAGTGAATGTATGGTATAGACTCTAATAAATTACAGCACTGTGTTGAATCCTGAATCAATAGATGTTTAAATAGGTGTTAAACATATCTTGTCCCTTTCCCCTTTAATCACATACTTCTCATAACCAGAGATCAATCAGCACAGTATGCCAAGAGACAGCATGAACTACTGCAGTAATTTATGTGTTATGGGAATTCTCAAATATTTCCTTTGGCCTGTACACATTTCTAATCTGCAAGGCTTTAGGAGTGTTTCAGTAGGTTAAAGAATCCCATGTCTTGCCGAGGAACAAATACAATGCACTTCTCTAATATCAAAGGCACTGATTCA